TCACGATATTTTGAATAGCGATGTTTAGGGTTGATCTCTTTTAATTACAGTTTCAGTTTACCTATTTTTTCAGAATGGGTAAACTATAGAGATTGCTGACTGTTTTTTATATTTTTTTATATAATCCTTGCGAAAAAAGTTATTTTGAAAATATTACTGAATCAAGAAAAACCATCTTTATGCAAAATATGCAATCAAAAAATAAAATCAAAATGAATTTTTTACATTTAAATATGTACATAGTATTTTTAAAAAAAATTTTCTTTTATCTTCTTGTTACATCTGTGTATAAATTTCCTTCAATTCTTTTTTCACTTTTCACAATTTTACAAATTCAAACAAGGGTTACGCCGTAATTTAAAAAATCCTAATCCTACTTTACAACTTTCATTTCAGCAATTCTAAATAGTTAAAATTTAATTACGACGAACCCTTGCTTATATATGATTTCAAAATTTGAGTGATTTTATGATTTAGTATCTGGAGCGAATGTTACTTTCTTCTCTCTTGGAACACTTGGCGAATTAACATCTTGATCACTCTTCTTCTTTGGTGTAATTGTTGCATTAATTTTTCCTTTCTTTCGAATGTCTCTTGGAGAATGTACGGGGGTTCTGACATCTCTCCTAAATAAATTTAAAATATCTCTCTCTTATATTATATTTTAAGTAATATAAATTTAGAAATTGGTAGCTTTAATTAATTATATTTTTATGTTAAATTTAATTTCTAAGCTTGGGGCGGTTTTCATTTAAATGCAAGTTTGTTTTAGGTAAATTAAAATTCTTTGAATCGAGTTTCTTTTGAACTAAATCCGGATTTGTTTTACACCGACTAAACACTAATTTCTTGGGTTTGTGACATAAAAATTTTCTTGCCATGAAGGATCTTATAAAAATACCGTATTTATTCTAATAGAATGGCAGCCATTATATTTTTCAATGCCCCAAAAAATTGTCATTTAAATGGAGGTGCCATTCAATTAGAATAAATAAGGTATGTAGTTTCGGATATTTGCTAATTCTCATTAAACAATAATCCATACTCTCTTTTGATTTTTCTTTCTTTCTTTCCTATTATCTCAGGTGAGTCTGACAATTTAGGAACTAGCGGATCATTTTCCTTTTCATCAATTTCCTTTTCAATCTTTTCAGTTTCCTTTTCTTCAATCTTTTCAATTTCACTACCAAATTTCTTTAATATATCAGACATTAATTGGTTTCCCGTTTTTAGAGCCGAATTAGGATCTAATGGTCCTGATCTTTTTTTATAATCAAGTTCTAAGCGAAGACTATTAATTATTTTTTCCAATCCAATAGCCAACTCTAATAGAAATTCTTTGTTTTCATACTGAGATTTTTCATTTTTAAATTCATCTGGAGAAATACGCTTTTCGACTTTGGATTCTTTTAAAATAATATCTTTGTTTTTTTCTTCGATACCTTTATATCCATTAAGAAATAATTCCTTAAATATCATAAGGACAGCGAGAGTATCCAAAGTTACTCTATTTATTTTTCCTTAATTAATTAAAATTAATTTTTTAGAAAAAACATTACTTAGACGGAGTTCCTAGACAAACTTTTCATTATTTTTTGGAGGAAGCAGGCCAACCTACCGCGAGCCCAACCTATCGCCGAGGCTATAACATCTTTCAGAATTGCCGAATCCGGGGCGGCGCTTTTGTATGGATCGATACTCCTCGTCGAACAGAATCCGACTCAGGAAATTTCCCGAGTCGGGTGTCGGGATACCCGAACATCACTAGTTTAAACTACACATTCTGCGCCGTAAATATTGAGACCTCACGTATCGTTTAACCTTATTTTCAACAGAGCTAGTTAAACAAACCCGTTATCATCCTTTCCTTTCAATTTTAAATTAGACTGCACAGAATTTCCAGTGAGTAATTTGTGTGCATTATCTTTAATCTGTTCCCAATCAGTAATTACTAAATCTGTCATTTTTTCTGGCATTTTTTCTTCATTATTTTGTGATTTACACATATTTTCCAAAAAATTATTAAATTCAGAATTTTCTGAACGTTTAATTAATTCTTTACTTTCTATATTTATTTTTTGTTCATTTTCTTTTAAATTAATTATTTTTTGTTTTAAAAGTTCATTAATTAATGAATAATAAATTTTTTCAAATAAATAGTTAATTCACAAATACATTTTTTAGTATAAGTATCAACACTTTCTGAATTAATACATGTATTTTCCCCATCATTTTTAAAATATCCTTCATCAAAAAATATTTCTTTAAATTTTAAAATTATCAAAAAAACATTTTTCCATTCAGTTTTGTTTTCTTCTATAAAAATATTAATTTAATTTTAATTAATATTTTATTAAATTTTTTATTTTTATTTTGTGCCATTAACTGGGCTAAAATACATAAAGGATAAATATTTAAAAAAAAGGCAAAAAAGTAGACAATTAGAATTAGACAAATGTTTTTTAATTAAATTTGACCACAATAGGATGGGATTTTAAGTTGTAACTTTTTTCCGAAATGGCGCGCACAGCCCTGATCACTAGATACATCCAGTGCCTGTGGGTATGCATTTACGTGAGGAGTCCAAAAAAGGTGTTTTTACATTGGACTAAGTACTTTAGAAAACGGCTAGAAATTTTTTTTAATTTCTGAAAAAATATTACTTATTCAAAAATCCAATAAATGTTTCTTAATTATTTTTGATGAAAATAAAAATGGGAATTTTTGGTTAGAATAAAAATGGAAAAATTGGGAATTTAATGTTTTTTCCTTAATAAAATAATTTAAATATAAATAAAGCTTTTACTTATTTCAATTTGATTAAAATCATCAATTTCTTTAAAAGTTTTCTTTCCCAAAATGTTTTTATTTTTAATTTTTTCACTTTTTTGATTTAATTCTTCAATAATTTTATTTAATTCTTTTTTATTTGTATAAATTAAATTTAAAATAGAATTACTCATTAACTTAACAAATTGTTTTGCAAACTTATCTTCATCCAAAACTGCACTAGAATTAAATAGCCGGTTTGCCCTTTCTAATGGATGAGAATCTTTTGTATATTTTTCAATAATTTCATAGACTAAATCAAAAATTTCTTTCTCCGATTCTTTACTTTTAACATTTTCCACAAAACAAAATATAAAAATAACTAAAATAAAAAACCATTAAAACTAAATAATTTTTCCCTTTCTAATGGATAAAAAATGTTTCTTAATTTTTTTTATTCGAGTTTTGAATTTTATAGGTCATATGGGGGAGGGTAATTATTTAATAAAATACGGAAGCTATTTAATTCCTAAGACTATGCGGAAGGTTGTTAGTTGTCAAAAACCACATCAGCCTAAATTCTCACGTTAACGGAAGGGGAAATTTCATTTTTATTAAATGAGAAAAGGATTTATTAGAAAAGATTATATTTTTGTTTTATGTAATTTTCTAAAAAAAACCTCCAAACAATAATTTCATTTGCATATTTTCTAAAATTTTGTTGATATTTCAAATAAAAATATTTTTAGTTTCAATCCTATAAATAAATAAATATTTATTAAATTTTAAATAAATTTTGTTCCAAAAAAGGCTAAATTATTAAAGCCTGCTTAATTTTCTCTATTCGACCAGCTTTTTCGAATAAAATGCCTTCTTCATTTTTAAATTCCAAGAATTAGCTTGCCCAGCCCCTGTTGCTAACACTTTTGTTTTTTTTCAATTTCTAGACCTATACCTTTGCGAGTTTTTCTTCTTAGGCGTAAAATTGTTTGATTCTAGAGACAATTAAAATATTTCCCGGTTTCCTAATTTTTTGAAAATCTTTCTAGCATTTAAAAAAGATGTTTTATTTTTTTAAATAGAGAATGTAAAAGTTCTAAAACCTAAAACGTCCGCTCTTTAGAAAGTTTTAAAATTTAATTTTTGTTTTTTTAATTTAATTTAAAAATTTTATTTAACTGCTTAATTTTGCCTTTAATTTATGGCTTTTTATTAAAGTTGACTTGTAATGGATAGAGAGAATTTTAAAATATTCGCTCTTCTCCCTCCCTCCTTCCTTCCCCCCCTCTCCATCCCTCCATCCCTCCTCCCCCCTCACCTCCCCTCCTCTTTTCCTCTCTTATTTACATCCCTCTTGACAATCAATTTTTTCCACATTAACAATTCATGTGATAAAAAATTTATTTTTTATCTTACCGGCATTTAAAAAAACTTTGGAATGCACTTTATAAGTGAAAAGTCATAAGAAAAACTTGTTTAAAGCGGATGTAAACATTTAAAGGGATTTATTAATAAGAAAAGTGCATGTTTACATCATAATACACTATAAAATTAATTTCGACATTGTTTAATTACCCAAGTTTAAGAGATTAAAAAAAATGGAAATTGATGGAAAAATGTCTGCAAATAAAATTTCTGCAAAACGGACAGCAACAGAGGCTAATATTTCGCCTCTCTCCAATAATAGCAACAACAACGAAAATTCAAGTTCTCCTTATTTTCTTATTGATTGTCAAGTCAGTTTTGTGAAAGCAACACTAGCAACAATCAATACTTTAATTCCAACTCTGACAACAGAGCAAACTCCAATTCTATTAAACTTTATTAAAACTCTTACTGAACAATTTGACCTTCTTAGTAAATCAATCGATTCACTTAAAGAAAAACAACAGACAAAGCAACCTTATGGATATTTTTCAGGGGCAGCAAAATTAAACACTATTTCAGCAGAAGATTTAGAGCGTGAAAGAAGTGTTGTTGTGACTGGTTTGACGGAATCAACAAAAAAACTTCCATCAGAAAAAATGGCGGATGACTCAATTGCAATAACAAGTTTACTCGACTCGGTGGGGGTTGAGTGCGCACCCAGGTTTTTTACCGTATGGGACGTCAGTCTAACCCACCCAATAATGGTCATGCCCGTCTTTTAAAGATTGTTTTACCATCCAGAAAATTTCAGCGTGGCCTTCTCAACAAATGGAAAACAAATGGCAAAAAATCTTTCCCTCAAATCAATATGCGGGCTTCAATGACACCAGAACAATTGCAACGACGAAGGGAACTGATCGAAGAGTGGAAAAGAAAAAGGATGGAAAACCCTCTATTGGACTGGATTGTTTATGGAGAAGCTGTAATTCTAAGATCGGAGGTTCACATTTTTAGAAAAAATAAAAAAATCTGACTTTTAAAAAATAATTTAAATAAATTAACTATTAATTTTTTATATTTTAATTCAAGAAGTTTAAAAAACAAATTGTCAAATTTACATTTTATTTTATTAGAAAACCGTTATAATTTAATAGGGGTTACTGAATCATGGTTGACTGATAAAGTTGATGATAATCTTCTATTACATGGTACCCCATATAATATAATTAGAACTGATAGGGTTAAAGGTAGGGGTGGCGGAACTTGCTTATTTATATCAAATAAAATACCTTTTACAAAAATAGAAATCCCAAACACAACATCCGAAATATCTTGCATAGACTTATTAACCTTAACTGAAAAAATACGCATTATTCTGACATATAGATCAAGCACAAAAGAAACCATTAAGGATTTCAAATTTATCTTGCAAAACTTATATGAAATCTCTGCGGTATCTTACCCACTAATCTTACTAGGAGATTTTAACCTACCCAATATTGATTGGGATAATTATAGTGCACAGACTAAAAATGCCAAAGAAACATTATTTTTAGAATATATTCAAAGTCTAGGATTAAAGCAAAAAATTGATAAACCTACTAGAGGAGTAAAAATATTAGACTTACTATTAACTAATAAAGAGGATCTAATAAAAACTATAACTATTAATCCACCAATAAGTAACTCGGACCACAATACAATAGAATTTGGAATCTCTTCCACTAACAACCACCAAGATAATTCATATAAATTTCCTAACTTTCGTAAAGCTAACTATGAAATAATTAATGCACATTTCTCAACAATAAACTGGAATCTAGTATTCACACAATGCTCTGATATAAATCAACTATATTTCACTTTCCAATCGATTATACATAATGTTATTTGTTCCTTTGTTCCCGAATCTAAAGTAAAATGTAACAATCTCAAAAAACCCGAACACATTGAAAAAATGACTTTATATCTAAAAAATCTGTGGAAACAAAAATCCACGCCAGAGCTAACACGTAAAATCTCATATGTATCAAAAAGAATAGATTCTGAAACTAACAAATTTTTAAAAAATAGAGAAAAGCATAAAACACAAACTATCAGTCAAAAATTCTCATACATCTCTTCATTTCTTAAATCCAAAAACAGGAAAATAACTTCAATTTTGGATAAAAATAATCAATTAGTATACGCTGATAATAAAATAGCACAAATTCTAAGTACCCAATTTAGTTCTGTATTTAATAAAAATTCATTAGACAATGCAGATCTAAACTCTATAACAAATCAAAATACATGTCAATCCGTAATCATAAATGAACTTCAAATCTTTGATCTTCTTTCTAAGCTACCTGAAAAAACTAACTCTTCTTATGACTCTATACCATGTATATTCCTTAAAAAATGTGCTAAAAGTCTTTATTATCCTTTATATTACATTTTTTCTTATTCATTAATGACTTCAACACTTCCTGAAATATGGAAGCAAAGTATAATAATACCAATACCAAAAACATTAAAGATACCCAAAATAGAAGAATTTCGCCCAATTTCATTACTATGTTCAATCACAAAAGTAATTGAACAAATAATTGCAAACCATATATCAATTTATGTTGAACAAAATGGTATATTACCAGATTGTCAACATGGATTCAGACCAAACAAATCCGTTACTACCCAACTAATTGAGGTTCAAGATGATATATCATTTGCATTGGATAATAAAAATTTAATAAACATAGTTTATTTCGATCTAGCTAAAGCCTTTGATTCTATACCCCATGAACGTCTTCTAACAAAACTAAAAGTAATAGGAATTGAAACATCACTCTTAAAATGGATCTCTAATTACTTACACAACAGAAAATCTGTTGTTAAAATAGGAAATGAATATTCTGAACAATTCCCTATTACTAGTGGAGTTCCTCAAGGATCTATCTTAGGTCCGCTCCTTTTTAATATATACTTATCGGACTTACCAACATTCTGTTACACTCCTGAAATAAAAATAAAATTATTTGCCGATGACATCAAAGCCTATCAAATTCTAACAAAAACCGATTTATCTAACAATTCTTTACAATTATTTATTAATAAATTCATTCAATATTGTAACATCAACGGTCTCAACATATCATTAAATAAATGCTCAGTATTATATATAGGTAAATCAAACCCTAAATTACAATACTCAATAGGAAACCACAAAATATTCCAAATTAGTAATGAAGACAAGAATAGGGATCTCGGAATTTTCTTCACTTCTAAATTCAAGTTTAATAAACATATTCAAACAATATCTCTAAGGGCCAATAGAAACTGCTATGCATTAATTAAATTTCTAAAATCACAAGATCCTAAAATTCTTATAGAAGCATTTAATATATACGTAAGGTCAATTATAGAATTTGGGTCACCGGTTTGGAATTCTTTAACTAAGAAAAACATTAAATTAATAGAAAACATACAAAAACGATATTTAAGATTTGTTTACAAAAGAATCACAAAGGTAAAAATAGAAGATATTCCACCATACAAAACACTTTTACAACATTTTAAAGTAGAATCCCTTGAAAGTCGAAGACTTAAAGCTGATTTAAAGCTATTTCATCAAAATATATTTGGGAAAATTAAAATTACCATAATAATTCCTATATGATAAAACAAACAAAAACTAGGGGCGAAAAATATAAAATACAACCAACACGTTGTTCAACCATGATTCGGTACAATTCCTTTTTTGTTCGAACTGCTAGAATTTATTCACTAATACCTATAGAAATTAGAAAAAATACACCCAAAATGTTTTCTAAACTTCTTGCACAGTTGGATATTTCCAACATCTTAAATGACAAATGATATAATTTTATTTATTAAGCTGCTTTGATTTTTATTTTAAGGACATTTTTTTTATTTGCATTTTTATTTTTCATAATTTCACTTCAAATTGTTTTATTTTTGACTGTCACACCCTAGTGGTGTAAATAAAATAAAAAAAATTTGAAACTCCTAAATTTTTTACCCGCGTTGTTAAATAATTAAATATTATCGCGGACTTAGGCCGCGATAATTCTTAAATGTGTTGAAAACTTTGAATTATTGGTTGTGCCAAGAAAAAGTTAATTTTCCTCCTCTTTTGTTAATAATCTCCTAATTTTCGTCCATCAAAAAATATTTAGCGTCTTTGGCATCTTAACTTAGAAAATATATTCAAAGTAGAGGTCGGCGCGGGACGGGATCCCGACGGGATTTTCCGGGATCCCGATCCCGAAATCCCGGATTTTTTTGATTTTCGGGATCATCCGGGATTTTTTCGGGATTTATCCCTCGGGATCCCGTCCCGGCATCGGTTAAAAAATAAAATCCCGACTCGGGATCCCGGACATTATTTTATAATTTTCGGGATTTTTAAATTAGCATATCCCAAGCATGTCTTACTCTAGTGATTCTCAAAATTTTCGCCTGCGGCGCAAAAAATGAAGAAACCTGGCTTAAGGAACTCCAAAATTCTCAAAATTTTTGCCTGCGGCGCTGAAAAATTGAAAATTATTTTAGTCTATGGTCTTCGAAATTTTAAAAATTTTCGCCTGCGGCGCTGAAAATGGAAGAAATCGTGCTTCATGTGCTCCAAAATTCTCAAAATGTTCGCCTGCGGCGCTGCAAACGGAGAAATTTGGAGGTATTATCGGAGGTAAAGTGGATGGATTAGTATATAGGGGGATTTTATCACGGTACCTAGTGATTAATCCACCGATATCCCTCTAAATCTATTAGATTTTTACAAATTTAATATTATTTACATATAGATTGCAGTATTTTGATGCACTTTATTTATAAAAATTTTAAATTTTTTATTTTTTAAAAAATCCCGAATCCCGGGCGGGATCCCGGATAATTATTTTCGGGATTTTTGAAATTCGGGATTTTTTCGGGATTTATCCCTCGGGATCCCGTCCCGGCCTCGGTTAAGAAAAAAAATCCCGACTCGGGATCCCGGAAGTGTGATTTTGCCGACCTCTAATTCAAAGAGTGAAATTAGTTATATAATCAATTGTTACATAGCGATAGATTATGAAATGATAGAACCTAAAGGGCGTAGTGACAGAAGACCCACAGACAGAAGACCCACAAGGACATAATACCCACAGACAAAAGACCCACAAGAAAAATTTTTAACCAAAACTTAAGAAGAGATTTTCTGAAATTTTTGACTTGTCTATTTTTCTAGGCAATTTTGAAAAAGACTTGTCTATTTTTCTAGGCACAAGATTAAAAAAAAATATTTTTAAAATATTAAAAAAATTTTATTCCAAAGTTAATAAATAAAATTTGATTAATGAAAAAGTGGATTGAAGAGCGGGTGATTAATTGCGATATGTTGGTTTAGCGTGGGATTTAGAGAATATAGGGGTAAAACCAAAATCTCAGATCCACCGATGTCTATTCTTATCCTTAAATTGTTTATAACAGGAACCGGGAGAAGTAATACTCCGATATCTCTCTCAAACAGAAAATCGGATATGTCAGGGGATTTAAAGGAGTGTAAACGGATTTAAACCTTTTAAGCTTTTATAATTCTACTAATCCGCTTTTATTAACCGATATCCCTCCATCTTACTCAGAAATAATTACGCAATCTCTGCTAATACCAATGATCCACGACATCCCTCCATGTGGACTTAACTGACTCTCGCTATAATCGAGTTAATCTTAAATACCCCTTGATACTAAATGTCCCTTTGATCTATAATCTAAATGTCCCCTAATCTATCGCAGACAAAAATTTTGGGAATTATCAAAAGCCAAGAAGCAAGGTTTCTACTTTTTAGCAACATAGGTGTAAATTCTTTGAATTTTGGAAGGCCAATTAGCTATTTTTCTACCATTTTTATATCTGAACCTAATAGGATTATGTTGTTTGACACGACTTGGACAATATTAAAAATCCCGAAAATCCTGGAAATTAAGATACCTCTTCGTAAACAAGCTCTCCGGTCATTGGGACAAGATTCCCATCATTGTAACAACTTCACGCGTTTTTCCAGCAACATCCCACATTGTTAAAATAACATCCACGTTGTGGAACAACGTCCAGATTATTGAAACGACCTTCGCTAATATCGAAACAACTTTTTCCGTTGTTGGATCAACCTCTTATTGTGAAAACTAATAAATTAACAAATCCCTCGCGCCAAAATTTATGCACAATAAAACTGAAAAATAGTTGTGGGTCTTCTGTCCGTGGGTCTTCTGTCCTTGGGTCTTCTGTGTGTGGGTCTTCTGCGTCGACCCGAACCTAAAGATATCTTGAGTTGAGAGAAAAATTTCTATTTAATAAGAGAATTCACTCCTTGATCCTCCATCTTTATTAGCCGCAGCTCTCATTTTCAACAGACATGTTTTTACTGAAAGGGTAATTTTTCTTGAGTTCACCCCTAAATATCGTAACCATATTATCAACACTAAATAGGTGATATGCTTAAAAGTGTTAGAAATGAGCATTTGATTTAATTTTAAATAAGATTTAGAAATAAATTCTGGTGCTAGGCCAAAAACTATTGCATTAATTTTGAAAAATCTGAAGAAATCTGAAGAATTCATGGATATTTTTTGCTCTTTTTAATGTTTTTTCACATTAAAGTTTTTTTTCAATTTTTTAAAACTAGCAAAGCATTAAAAAGAAAAAGGGTTAAGTATGTTTGTTGCCCTTAACAGTTGACATAGGACTCAAAAAATTTTTCAGATTTTTCAAAATTAATTAATGATAATAATTTTTGGCCTAGCACCAGCATTTTTAAATTCGACTCATGTCCCAGCAATTGGTCTGAATTTTTCTACAAAGCATTTTAACTTTTACCTTTTATGTTTTTATGAATATGTATATTCTAATATTTAGTGTTGATCATATAAGGCGATATTTAGGATCACGATATTTTGGATAGCGATGTTTAGGGTTGATCTTTTTTAATTACAGTTTCAGTTTACCTATTTTTTTTGAATGGGTAAACTATAGTGATCGCTGACTGTTTTTTATATTTTTTTATATAATCCTTGCGGAAAAATTGCTTCGAAAATGTTATGAATCAAGAAAACCATCTTTATGCAAAACAATGCAATCAAAAAATAAAATCAAAATGAATTTGTTACATTTAAATATGTACAAATGTATGTTTAAAAGAAAGAAAATTTTCTTTTATCTTTTGTTACATCGGTGTATAAATTTCCTTCAATTCTTTTTTTTCTCTTTCACAATTTTACAAATTCAAGCAAGGGTTACGTCGTAATCGAAAAAATCGTAATCCTAATTTACAAGTTTCATTTTCCGTAATTTTAAATCGTTAAAATTTGATTACAATGAACCCTTGCTTAAATATGTATTTCAAATTTTGAGTGATTTTATTATTTATCCCTTGAGCGAATCTCACTCTCTTCTCTTTTGGAACACTTGGCAAATTAACATCCTGATCACCATTCTTTTTAAGGGCTGGTTTACTCGGTGTAATATTTGCATTACTTTCTCCTTTCTTGTGAGAGTCTCTTGGAGAATGTACAGGGGTTATGACATCTCTACTAAATAAATTTAAAACATTCTCTCTTATTTATAAGATATTTTAAATAAAATGAATTAAGAAATTGGGAGCTTTAATTAATTATATATTTTAATAAAATTTAATTTCTAAACTTGGGGCGGTTTTTGCCTAAATATAAAGTTTGTTTTAGGTATATTATAGAGATCAGCTCGATACGATATTTTTTCGATATTTTTCGATATTTTGTTTCGATATTTATCGAAAAATATCGACCGAAAAAATTTTGAGTTTTTCGATATTTTTCGATATTCGATATTTTTCGATATTTATCGAAAAATATCGATCGAAAGAATTTAAATATCGACCGACAAAATAAAATTTATCGAAAAAATATCTAACGTCATTTTTGACTAAAATTTGAATTTTTGGCGTCAAAAAGGATGAGTTTTAGCCTCCTGACCATCATAAATTCGAAAAGTTTTCGCCTGCGGCGCTGAAAATGGCAGAATTTTGCAACTTGACTTTCCGAGATTCTCATAAGTTTGTTAGAATATCCTCTCTTATCCCCTTAATCATCATATTCCCTCGATATCCCTACAAAACACTGATATGAATTAAGAAAAATTTCAATAGATTAAGGGTGATTTCAGTAGATTGAGAGTAATTTTATGGGATATCCGAAGGTTTGTTGGTATATTTGAGATATCTAAGGATCAGAATATATGGGTATTCGGGGTAATCAACTATTTGTATAACTAATAGAGGATTAAGTGGATAAAATGGATTTCGAGTATCAAGACGGATATTTGGGAGAGATGGATATCAAAACGGATACCAAAAGCCAAGATTTTTTATCCCCCTATATCCCTCTTAATCAAGAAATCCCTTGATATCCCTCCTGATTTCAAAAATCCACAATATCCGTCTTACTACCTTTAAGTCTCTTATTACACACTCAGTCTTCCAATATCCCACCTAATTCCTTAAAATCCATTATCCCTCGCTAGAATCCGCTTATATCTCACTTTATCCTTCGATAACAAATACAAGCCCTTGAATTCAATTTAATCCGTCCATATCCACCAATATCCCAGTTAATCAATCTTAATCTCCTTAAACTATTTGGTCATTCTGTCATTCATTGGTTATAAAAATTATTTGAAAAATCGAAAAATATCGAGACTTTTTTTCGATATTTTTCGATATTCGATATTTTTCGATATTTATCGAAAAAATATCGACCGAGAAAATTTTGATTTTTTCGATATTTTTCGATATTCGATATTTTTCGATATCTATCGAAAAATATCGACCGACCCCTTCGGCCGATCTCTAGTATATTAGAATAAAATTCTTTGAATCGAGTTTCTTTTGAACATCCGGATTTTTTCACACCGACTAGACACTAATTCTTTGGTTTGTGATAAAAAAATTTTTGTTGCAACGAAGGATCTTTTAAAAAGATGTCGTTTCGTATATTTGCTAATTCTCATTAAACAATAATCCATACCCTCTTTTGATTTTTTTCTTTCCACTTATCTCAGGTGAGACTGACAAGGTAAGAACTAGCGGATCATTTTCTTTTTCATAAATTTTTTCAATTTTCTTTTCTTCTTCAATCGTTTCAATTTCACTACCAAATTTCTTATATATTTCAGGCATTAATGTGTTTTCCATTTTTATGTCCCTAGATTATATTTAAAATAATTTTTCTTACTTTTATATAAAATGAATTTAAAAATTGAGTCTCTAAGTTAATAAAATTTCTTATATTAAATTTGATTTATAATTCCCTGACTTGTCGAGGTTGAGTCTAATTTAGTGCTGGGTATAGCTCCGGGAGCAGCTCCGGAGCCCGGCTCGGGCGGAGCCGGAGCTAAGATTTTGAAAACCCCGGAGCCGGAGCCAAGGATTTGAAGTGCCCGGAGCCAACAAATGGCAAATACCCAGCACTTGTCTAATTGTATATTAGTTCCTGGTAAAGCAGCATAAAAATAGCATAAAAGAAACAAAATCTGGGTCGGTTTCAGATTGCCTTAATAAACTAATTCTATGGGTTTGTGACTTAAAATTATTCAGCGCAATATCAAAAATATTTCAAAATTATGTCGCCTTTGGATATCTATTACTTTTAATTATTTAAATTTGTTTAAATTCTATGTTCTGTTAAATTATAATCCATACCTTCGTTGATGGTCAATTTTAGGTCCTCTGTGCTTCGCTATTATCTCAGGTGAGAGTGACCTTGTAGGAACCAACGGATCATCATTTTCCTTTTCTCCAATAAGACCATTAATTATTCCTTTCAACTCTTGAGCCATCTCATTTAAAAATTCTTTGTTCTTTTTTGAATTATTCTCTTCCAAATTAATTTCAGACTGAGAAGCTAGCGCTTTTAAGTCATCCATTGAACTAAAAGCCGTTCTAACCCCTGGTTTTTTTAAACTATACTTGTTTTCTTCTCCTATACCGTTATACCCAATTAAAAATAATTTTTTAAAAACCATAAGGACAACAAGAATACGGTATTTTGTTTCTCCATTTATTTCTCCTTAATTGTTTAAAATTGATTTTTAGAAAATTCGAGAAAGCGTATTGGAAGGTCATTTGTCGGTTAACCGAAATCTTACCGATCAGGGCAATTGTCAAAAAGTTTCCGCAGCCGCAATCCTTAAGTCAAAAGAATACGCAATTTCACGTATTCTGTAATCTGAAAAGGTCATATGACACATGCAGACGAGACATTTTCAGATATTAATTTTTGAAAAAAATTAATATCTTTTATAATAATTAGGGTGTTTCAAAATATGCACGAAAAATCCAAAAATATGCGCATATATATGCACCGAAAAAGCCCAAAATATGCATCAAACTATGCCAAATTTGCCGAAATATGCACTAAATATGCAGCAAAAATAATGAAAATGTGCTTTAAAAATCAATATTTTAAGTAAAAAATATAAATTTAGCATTTAAATTGCAGTTTAAGAGCACTTCTAAAAGATTTTATTAACTTTAAATTCAGACAAAAAATTTTTTTCGTGAAAAAAATTTTTCACGAAAAATCTTTCGAAAAAATTTTTTCAACAAATTTTTATTAAAAAATTTTATGCCCAAAAAATGCCAAAATTTTGAAAATTTTGCCCGATTTTTACAAAAATTTTTCAAAAAATGCCAAAATATGCACAAAATTAGGTAAAAATATGCAAAATTTTCCAAAATATGCATCAATATGCAAATATGCACAAAAGTACCGAAATATGCAAAAATATGCTATAGGAATCCGGTCCCTAATCATCGTACCAACGTAAAAACACCATTTTTGAGCGTTTCAGCTCATAGCATATCCGCATACAAAATATGCATTTGCATGTTTTGAAACACCCTAATAATAATATATAGTGAATTAAATTAAGATCATTTAAATAATTTAATTCTTCATGATTAATACAAACATCTGTTATTCTGGGTCTTCTGGGTCGTCCCATTCCTCAAATCAGCTTTTTGCCAACCTGTATTGGATGGAATCTGCAAATGTCTTATCTGCTAGTGTCGTGACACGGCTGTAATCCGCAATTCCGCCGAACCCTGTTACCGACAAACCAGTTCAGTTCGGTCTGAAACCGATAACCCTGATTGTGACACAATTTATAATATTTTCTCTATTTATTTTTATAAAAACTAGGTAACCTTTTTGTTTTACTAAGTCATCATTTTTATTCAAACTTGCAATTTCAGATGCTAGTAATTCCTTTGTTTCATCAGATGCTTTGCTAAAGCTTCCTTTAACAGATAATTTTAATTTAAATGCAGTTTCCTTATCAGTTTCCTTCATCCCTTTATTTAATGAATCATAAATTTCATCAATAACTTTATTCTCTCCATTGGCAATACTTTTAATATTTAAATATAATTCCGCCGATTTTTGTGAAACTGTTTGTAAAATAATTTTTGACAACAATTTTATAAATTTATCTTTTTCCTCTAAATAACTGGATATATCTTTTATATCCTTCCCCTCCTCCACTTTACCCTCAAAAAAATTTTTAACATAAAACAATTTATTTGTTTCTTTTTCTTCTACTTTTTCAAGCTCATTACAAACGAATTTAAAAATTAAATCTTCCAAATTAACAGAATTAACTGTTTCAACAAAACAAAAAACAAACACTAAAAAATATTTTCAGAAAATTAAAAGTTTAATAAAGATATCCGACTCTCAACCATCAATTATCCTCTTAACCCCAATTTCTTAGGTATCTTCTAAAGAATATAATCCCTTAATACCTCCATATTCCTCATAATAAATAATACATATCCTACTTTATCCATCCACATCTCCCTATAGCCCATCCAAATCCCTCTATTTTAAGCCATTGAAATTTCGTTATCAATACTTTTAGGCGACTATAATAAAGGTAATGGAAAAATAAGTATTCAAAAAACAGATGGGCTTCTACATATTAGGGCATGGGCTTCTATTGGAGATGAGCTTCTATTAGAGATAATATGGTATTTATTTATTTTAAAATTACCTCCAAACACCAAAAATAAATTCATTCGGAATTTAAAAAAAAATTTTTTTTCAATTTTTAATAAATTTTTTTTCAATTTTAAAATTTAGCCAATATTTAAAAAGAATGTTTAATTTTGCCTTTCATCTCTGCCTTTTTATGACCTGACAACGACATTGGAATTGATTTAGAGGATAAAAAAAAATTTAAAAAAATCCCCTCTCCCCTCCCCTCCTCTCTTTACCGCCTTTTTAAATTTTTTAAATAAAGAATGCCCTTTTAAATTTTCTCTCTAACTCTAAAAAAGACTTTAACTCTCACTTATGCCCTTTTAATTTTCAATTGATTTTTCAGTCGTTAACACTTTCACGTGAAAATAATTTTAAATTAATTTTGCCGGCTTTTTAAAAAGAAAAAAAATTTAAAAGGAATGCCCTTTTAATTTTTGTGTTTTGGGTAGTCACAAGAAAAAATAAAAACATGATTGCGCAAGAAATAATTATTTTTAAAGACAGTTGTTTACAATTAAAAGGGCATTGCTAATAAAAATAAATTTAAAAATCAAAACACAATTCTGAATTAAAATTTTTTCCTAAATATTTTTTTTGGGAAATTGGGAATTTTAAATTAATCATGGCTCTGTTTCCATTGTCAAAATCTGCCTCCATTCCTTCATTAATTTCCACAAAATCGTGAATTTCTTTTTATACGGTAATCCTTACTTTTACTGGTCCCTAGAAAATATATCTGGGGATTTTGATATCTGGGATTTTGACGTTTACACGGGGATTTTAAGGGAACAAGGGGGATATCGGTGGATTAGGTCGGATATAAAGTGATTTAAAGTATTCAACGGATATTGGTGATTTTTGCAGTGATACCAGAGGATTTGGAGGGATACTAATGATTAAGGCGGATATCTGTGGATTTAGAAGGACATAATTAGATTTAGAAAAAAAATCCAGAAATCAAGGCTGGATCCAGATAAAAAAATCCTGGATTTTTTCTGGATCCAGATCAAGAATCCTGTCCAGACTACTAACCTAAATTCAGATCCAGAATCCAGATCCAGGATTTTTGAAAATACCGATCTCTATCTTTTCTTTTCCAGAAACTTTTAATTTTATTTACGTTTTTAAATGAGTAAAATCGAATACCGTATACGCTTTATTAATTACCCCGGGTAATTGTTGTTTTAACTCCTACTGGAAAGTTTTTAATAGAGGCGGGGTAATTATTTAAGGGAGGGCAATTAATTAGCATTTACGGTATCAACAACAAAAAATAAAAATATGGAAATTTAAAATAGTCAAAAAAATAAAAATTTAATAAACAATTTTAAAAAGAGGAATTATAACCGAATTTTCTTTAATTATTTACACCAGAAGAATCACCATTATTTTCGGAATTATTCCAATAAGGATGAAATCTAAAATTTTTTTTATTAATTTTTAATTTTAATAAACAAATAAATACCTGTTTAAATTATTTATTTTATTTGAGGAAGTTTCTACATTAATTAATAAATTATTGTATTTTCCACTATTTAATTGTTGTTGTTTTTTAGTATTTTCAGAGGTAGTAAAGGGTCTGAAATTATATACTAGTGTGAAATTTTAAAGACAAAAACATTTTTTTCTGAACACTATAAGAGCTGGTAAACAGTAAATTAGTGAAAATTGTTGACTAGTGTGAAACTTGAAAACCTTTAGTACTTCCCAAGTTTCTGTCAACAATTATCAAGGGTTTAGCCGACAAATTTAGATTTCAGATTTAAGGGGACAGAAATTTGCGGCCCTAAAAAGTCGTGAATTCTCGATTTTTGGGAATCGGCTTTGCTAAACATCTGGTAGACACCAACTCTAAAGACTTCGTCTTGGGCCTTGATCAAAGGTCTTTTTGGTTTTAATTTTAGTTTCAGGTCAAGGAATGGCCTGGAAAAGTCAGAGTTTAAAGTAACCCTGCCCATCTCTGATTCAAAGTTTACAAAATAAAATTTTTATTAAATTTCCTCACCCAGTCAAGCTATAAGTAAAACTTAAAGAAGTCGGGAAAACAACAGAATCTTCTTCTCTAACAAGTAAAATTGGAACATCTAATTTTTCATTTCCATTATTTGTATTAGCCAAAATGGCAGTTTCAGTATTAAATCCCAAATCAGAACAAATTAAATTTAAAAAAGGAATTGAACAATTTAAACGTTCAGAAGAACTAAATAAATTGTAAATTTAATTCAAAAATAATTTTTAGAAAAACCAAAAAATTGTTTCTGTAGGGGTAGCTCCAATCCATACCCGTATTGAAGGGGAAAAGTTGGAACCATTTAATTCAATATTTGTTGGAATTTCTGATTTAAAATTAAAATTAAATTTTTTAAAATTAATTTTTGTTTTCTACCCGATTTAATTCCATTATTTGTTTCTGAATTTAAACTGGAAATATTTAAATTATGTAGTTGTGGCATTGGGGTAATTGGCAGACGGGCAAAAGATCCAATATTGGCTAAGGGCTTTAAAAATTAAAATTATTTTTAATTGAAGTATTTGAGAGATTCTGGACGGAATAAAAATAAATTCTCGATTTGGGGAATCGGGACGGCTAGATTTGTGTTTAATTTGTAGGTTTTTAAAAAATGATTTCATTACATAACATAATAATTTATTGTTTTTCCTATTAAAGACCGAACAATTGAGAAAAAAACTTTTGCGGGTCCCATGTGTTTAGATTTTCCTTTTTACTTATTACTATATTATTAAATAAATTATTTATTAAAATTTGTAAGTAAAAAAACTGATGTTACGAGAAAGTCACAAAATGTTTGTTCAGAAGCTATATTTTCTATAAATTTGTCAGTAAATATCCAAACGTCGGGCACCATGTTCTATCAATCCCTCTCCACCCCCATTTTTTCCTTCCCAGACTTACAAAATAACAACTAAACAATTACTACCTCAGCCCATCTATATTCACTCTTGTCGGTGGATATTATTGTCCAAGCAGCCCCATCACTTATTTGATGTCTATTAGGGTCTATTCGGACAGCCTTGAATTAATTTATAAAATTTAAAATTAAATAAATAATCCACTTGGTGCTGGATTATTTTATCGTGGGATAAACACAAATAAAGAGATTCTTGTCCAGCAACAACAGCACCTCCTCCACTTGTATCAACCATTTGGAATGCACATTTATGTAATTGACTGACAGGTTCACCTTTTAAGTTTTTAATTATTTGTGGATGGAGGTTAGGAGAAATTAATGAGGGGTATAAGCAGTAATTAGCTGGTGGTGGACATTGTTACAATAAAATTTTGAAAGAAAAAAAACTTTAAGAGAAAATAATAAAAGACTTTAATGACTACTTTAAAAATAGCAGGTTTAGCAGCTCCTGGAAAATCTTGGGAGCAGGCCAAGGTACCGCGAAGCTATAATTTCGTTCACAATTGTCGGACCTGGACGCGCTGGTACAATTCGATACATTTCGATAAGCTGAAGCAAACCAAACCAAGCGTCCCGAATTCGACTATTTCAGTTTTGGTACCTTGGGGTGTACCCAAAATCCCTGGTTAATCCGGACTTTTTCGTATCTGGATCCACCAAAATTACATACAACCAAATTCTTTGTTTATCAAATATTCTGTTAGGGAAAACTTCTCGTACTTTATTACACTAACTTTAAAAAACTATTTTCTACCTTGACTAGAAGGGTCTAACAAAACCATTTGTTTGTCAACTTTTCTTATTCTCTAGAATTAAAAAAATATTTTTTCAAATATTTTCAATTTACAAGTTTAGGTAATGCAATATTTGATTGAGCATCAATTAATTGAATAACAGATCCATATGTTATAATTGTTGAGGTTTGATTATTATTTGAGTTATTAGTTGTAAAAGGTTGAGGATTATCTACTTAATATATACTATTATAATTTTTATTTTTTATATAGGGAAAGAATCTAACACTTAATTTGTATTTGTAAGACTGAATACAAGTATACTTCTATCTATGCAAATATGACATTTTAGTTAGAGATCAGGTTAAGACTAGATCTCGAACAAAAATTTCGGTTATCTAGATCCGAAATAATAATTTCAATTCTTCTAAGTCGTGCCAGTCCAGTTTCGAAATTTTAGCAATGATTTTTAGATTCTCTTAGAAATAAAAATGTATGAAAACCATAGGGTTAATGTAAATTGTAGAAAACCCCAAAAAGGCGGTTGACTGGTTATTATAATATTCCAATCCCACCTAAATTAAGAAAATATCTCTAACCAGAATTAATATGAAAAGCTCCCCATTTTGTCGAACTTGCATGAAAACAACCATTTTCTACATGTAAATATCTAGTAGAAACTGTTTGTGAACGAAGACGATTAAAAAGGGCAATCTTTAAAAAATAATTTTTTTAATTTCAAATATATATGTTCAAACTTTGCTTCCATTACTAACACATAAATATTTACAGTCTGAACTTTTCATTGACTGTTTCTTCTTTGATGGTTTTGAAATAACCTGTAAAGTTAAAAATTTTTAAAGAAATTATTGGTCTGTTTAAATTTCATAATTATATTTGTAGAAAAAATTTAGGGAGATAAAAATTTATGTTTTCTAAATAGTTACCTTTATTCTTTGGGAAGAAAATGTGCCAATATCAATACCTCCACAAGCATGCGAAAATGTTGTCTTTAAAAAATGACTTTTAAATTATATTTTTATTAAAAGGGAAAGGTAAAACTTTAGCGTTTTTAGGTTTTTAGGTCAGGTTTTAGGTCAGGCATGCTCCCGTGGGCATGCTGTCATGGCATGCTGTCTCCATGTCAGGCATGCTCCCTCTCAGCATGCTCCATGCTCCTCAGCATGCTCTCCTTTTTAGGTCAGGCATGCTCCCGCACTTTTCTGTCGAGTCTTGATAGATATTAAATCCCTACTAGAAAGTTCGATCCCTTTTCACTATACATTAATTAAACTCACATGTAAATAAAAATATTTTCTTTTGTCAGTATCACTTATAAATAAAGCTTTTGCTGCGCAATAATCCTTTAAATTTAAAAAAATTTCAGTCTTTATATAAAAAAATATTTTGAATACTTTTCCGTTTGTAAAGTCAAGAGGATGGGCAATATGATGGCAAGATAGCCTTTCTGTTGCATTTTGTGGTTGATTAATTCCGATAGTTGAAATTATTTCGCTAAACATTTCATGGCAAGAATCTCCATTTGAAAGGAAATCGGAACTTGGAAATTAAAAAAATCTGGGAACGAAATAATTTGAATTACCTATTCTTTTCATTTTGTTCTTTTATTCGTTTAAAAATTTGATCGAGAGCCTTTCTCCTATTCCGCCAACCTTCTCCAAGTAAATAGACACAAGGGGGAGGACAAAAAAATCTTTAAAAAAATAATTTCATATTTAGTTAATAATTTGTTTTGAATTTAAATTTTTATTTAAAAACATTTTGTGATTGGAATTAGGATAATATAACAAGAAAATCCTTTATTTTGAGGTTCCATATTAATTCGTTTATAGATACTGTTTCTATTTTTCTATTTCTATCCAATTCCTTTGAGTAAAAATGCTCGAATATGTATGTGCTTTCATTAGCGAATTTATCAAAACTCAACCATTTACTAGATTATGAATCGCTGACAAAGCATTTCACAACTAAAGTAGGGTATGATCTATCTGTATACCAAATTTCATCCCCAAGTCCCACGAACACCCCACAGCCTCTAATTTGTGAATCCCTTGATTAATCCTTTCAGCTTAGTTATTACTTGGTTAATATTTCGTTAATTTAGAAAGATTTTGGGATTGGAACTCTGTCCTTTTAACTCTTAAACTCTCCTCTTAATTGAGTTAATTAACAAACGATAACTTTACTTCATTATTAAAACACATTTAATTGTGACAACCCCCAAAAATGATATTCAATACTTTCTATTTTTATTGTTATACAACTAAATTAGGATTTACAATATTTGCCCCTTGATGACCTTCTTCCATAAACTACCCTCAATTCTTCATTATTTCTTGCTTACTAAATTACACAATTTATGTATTTACATTAATTGACTGGTCATTATTACCCACAAAAGTGTTCCTTCCCTCATAAACTAAACAATTTGTCCCTCTACTTATTGTGAGAGAGTCTTTTCTTAACAATTTGCTATTTCCTTGAGAGTATTTGCTTTAAGGATTTACAGACCCCCCCCCCCCTTCATTTTAACCATTTTTACCCAAAATATTTTAGAGAGCTTTAAGAAATATATGTTAATTCTCACTCAACTATTCAATATTTGTTAATTTTTTGAATAGTTTTGAGTTACTTAAAATATATTAATTGTTATTTACTGTTACAAAGAATGGTAATTTTTAGTTTTTGAAGTAATTAACATATGCTTTCATTCAGCTAGTTAAATGTGACTGGGAATTAATTAAAGATAATTCTGATATTATTAAATAAAAAGTTACAAATAATGCTGTATTAAATGCCATATGTAGAGAGAGAGATCACAACAATAATTGCCCTACCTCAAATGATTACCCCCTATTTTTTTCTACACTAATTTAAAAAATATTTGTAATTGTTATAAATTTTGATAATATTAAAGGATCACTTTAATAAATAAATCGAGAGATTAAAAGAATTTGAGGAGAGGATAATGAGAGATTAAGAAATTTATGAGAGATATCAAGATTTTATGGGAGCTACCACCAGTGAGAGATCAACAATATGTAATAACCCAGAGTAGTTAATAGTTCTCTACAATAAAGGATTATTTTAGAGAAAATGCCTATCTCGAATTATAATAAATTAAAATATTCATTTCATCAAAAATAAATTACTTATCTTTTTATTATTAATAATCTTTAACTTATATCTAAAAATATTCTTTTCAAATTATAATTAAACAATTTTAACAAATTTATTTATTAAATATCCCTCTTCTTCCTTCTCTTATTTAAATAACTCCTTAAAATATTTTGTTCATCTCGAATGTCTTTTTAAAGGATTGAATAACCTAACCATTTGTAGAGGATTATCCCCTCAGTTTTTACATTAATGTTTCTTGTAATATCTTTCCCCAATATTTAAACAAAAATGAATTTATGGACATAAATGAACAATAGATACTTAAATAATAATTGTTTTGTGATTTTGCGCGAAAAAAAAAATAAAAATTTCGTTTAGTTATTTTGTGTAGTTATTCTTTCGTTTTGAATAGGTTTGGCAAATCATGGGAAATATTTGGATATCTAGATCTAGTATACGAACCTAAAAATTTCGGTCATTTTTCAATCCAGATCCGCCCACCCTATTTTAAACGGTTGTTGATTACTTTTTTACGTTTTTTAACAAAATATTTCGGAAATTTTTACTTATATCTTCTAGAGCTGTCCGAGACCAAAATTTTTCCAAGACTCAAGACCCAAGACAAAATTTTTTCCAAGACCAAGACTCAAGACCAAGACCAAAACTCCAAGACTCAAGACCAAAAATCAAGACCAAATTTTTAAATCCCATAGGTCAAATTTTTGGTTTATTTTTTGTTATTTTGATACGATCAGTCAACTTCAGCACAATTATCTATAATTTCGAAAAATTTATGCGAAATTCAAAGAATTTCGGGGAATTTATTCGTGTGGAAAATCAATAAAATAGGTTATTATTTCAGAGGATTTGGGTGGATTAACGGGATATTAGTGATATCAAAGGATTAAGAGGGATTGCCGTGGGATTTAGTGAATTATGAGGGATGTCGTGGGATTTTACGTCTGGAACGCCAAGGTAAAGCCAAAATTTTAGCGATACCCAACGTTAACCCCCCCCCCCCATTCGAAATCGACCCCCTGGCTACGCCCTTGGATTAAGGAGGATATCGAGGTTTAAAGGGGAATTTAAGTGGATCTTTTTGCGCGCATGCGGAATTTAAGTGGATCTTTTTGCGCGCATGCGGAATTTAAGTGGATCTTTTTGCGTGCATGCGAAAATTTGTACAATTTTGGAAGGCCAAGAAGCCAGAATTCTTCATTTTCCAGCGCCACAGGCGAAAATTTTTTGAATTTTGGGACTCAAGAAGCCAGATTTCTTCCATTTTCTGCGCCGCAGGCGATAATTTTGAGGATTTTGGATGGCCAAGCACTAGGTCCAAAAAGGCCAAAAAACCAAGACCAAAAAATAAAACCAAGACAAGACCAAGACAAACACCCCAAGACCAAGACAAGACCAAGACCGAAAAAAAACCAAGAAAAGTCTTGGTTCCAAGACCAAGACCAAGAGCCTCGGACAGCTCTAATATCTTCTGAATATGAATTAGAAATTCGTAAAAATATTTAAAATAATGATATTTTAAATTTAATTTGTTTTTCACTTAAAATTTTAATTTTCTGACAGTGTATTGAAATAATAATTTAACAAAATTATTTTTATTTAAAAAAACTTTTCTAACCTTTTCTCATTTCCATAACTTTTTTGGGCAACTTTTGCATGGAAGATCCACATTGCACATTCATAACGTCCAGGATTGGCCAAATAATCGCGCATAGCTGCGCTAGTCATTTGTTGTATAGGTGGGAAGTTTAAAAGTATAGGAGAAATTGTTTGGAGCTAAAGAATAAATTTTTTGGATTTTAAATAAAATTTTTAAAAGGATTCCAGGACTACAGGACAAAATAGCCCTCCTTCCCTCCCTCTCCACTTCCCTTCCCTCACCTTTTGCTGTTCATTTACATTCTCTAAACCTCCACCACATTCATTGGCATTTATGGATGAGGCATTATTGCAATGCCTTGATTGGCTACTTTCCATTCTTTGATGTTGAGGGCTTTTACCATTAGATGCGGTTGAGGTTAAAGAAGTTGCAGGGCCTGTTTAAAAAATTTTTTTTGATTTTTGAATAGCCAAAAAAATTTTTTTGGATTAATAATAGAAGAAAATATTGTGTAAAAAGAATATTTTACAACAAAAAATAGAAACTCTCGGCTCTTTATTAACGAGAATTCTAATAAGACCATTTAATCTTATCAAGACAGAGTTAGAAAATTAAAAGAAATTTTTATCCAATACCTCTTCCCCTCCCCCTTTTAGACACAAATTTTGAGGTTAATTGACGATTATTATTAGTTGAAGTAGTAGAGGTAGTAGCTGCTAAAATTGCCGATGTTTTCTGCCATTCTTTTTGATTATTATTAGAATTTATTTGACTTTTAATTTCTGTACTTCCTTCAATTATTGGAGCAATAGAATCAAAAATAGATAAAGCTCCCCCAGATTCAACAGCAGAATGATTTTGTTGTGGAATTAATTCTCCAACATTGTTGCTATCAATTGTTGGGTATCCCCAATGTGCCCAATTAATTGTTGATGAGGAATTTTGTCCTCCTCCATAATAATCGAATGTTGGCCAACAAAAATTAGTAATTTGGGAAGGATCCCCTATTTGTCCTGCAGCGATAGCTGCTGCGGCAGCCAAAGAATCGTAAAGACCCCCTACAGAGAAATACTGTGAAGATTGTTGTTCGTCTAGAATTTGAAAATTTTGTGGATACATTGAAGGTAACATTCCCATCATTCCGGCATTGTTATTATAATCAAAAGCCGCCGCTATTGAAGTAAATGGAGGGGGGTAATAATCTGTAGATATATTAGTAGAGTTATCAGATATTTGGTTGTTGGGGTTTTGATAATCCAACCAAAAAGGAAAATTTGTTGAAAAAGTATTGGATATTTGGTGGTTATTACCCGTTGAATTGTTAAATTGTTGAGAACTTTGCTGTTGAGAAATTTGTAGATTATGAGATGGAGCTAGGGAAGATTGTTGAGGATGTTGATTATTTGGAGATAATCTTTGAATGGGTAAACAACCTTCATTTAAATTTTGACTAGAAGATTTGGGTGGATTTTGAGAATTAAAAAAATTGGTTGACGAGATTGGAAGGGTTAGTTGACTAGAATTGGGTAATTCTTGGTTAAATGAAGGTAAAATCCCTGAATTTGAATGAATTAGTTGATTCTGTCCTAGTTGATGTTCTTGTAGGTTTTGTTGATAATTTTGGTAGTTTGGTGGATTTGAGAGGGTTTGGGGATTTGTGGATGTTAATTGAGAACATTGGGGTATAAATTGGTGGAATGATTGATGATATAAATATTCGGGCATTGAGTTAATCGGAAATTCTTGGGGAGGTAGTGAATTGTTGTTGTTATTTGTTGTTTTGATAAGTTCAGTAATTCCTTCTTGGGGACAATTGGTCATTATAGGATAAATTTATGAGATAAAGTAGATATGAAAAATTTAATTAAAAATAGAATACTCGGTTATTTAAAAGTAAAAAACAAAGAAAAATATTGTATACGAAATTGTTTAATGGGTCTGAAATTGTGCTTTTAGATTAAGGAAAAGTTTTAAAAAGGAAGTTGAACTAATAAATAATACATAAACATGATTAGGGTTGCCGTTTTCAAGTCGGGCCGACGGTCGAGACATTATTTTTCGGGCCTAACTTTATCGAGTCGGGCCGTACATGTCTTTTTCGGGCCAAATATCTCAGGCCCGACTCGATCTTTCGGTCCGAGTCGGGTCATTTTGGCACCCCTAAACATGATTAAGATTGACAGTTCCCGATAATTAAATCGAAAAAATATATCTGAAGATTTCCCAGAATTTGACAATTCTAAATATGATGTCACAGATGGTTTATGCTAATTTATTTAGTAATATTTTTTATTTTTTATTGGTTAGTCCCTAAAATTTATTTTCCGATCCCTCTTCTATAGACTTCTTCCATATATCGTGGGATGAGAGAATAGTCTTGAATTTATTTAGGTTATTGAGTATTTTCCCATTCACTTTATCGCTACAAGGCAAATCGAAAGCTTATCTAAAGGCTAGATTTGTGGATAGTGGGAATCTCCCACAGTTTTTGAAAAGGGGGATATTTTTTGCTGGACTTGTTCCAACAATCTTATGTTGATGGGAGAATTTCCTCAAAATACATCCACTAAAATTTTCCCGCAATTTTCTCGCAATTTTGTCAAAAAGGGTGTGAAAACTATAAAAATTCTGAGATTTGGCAAAATTAAAAGGAAAATATTTTCTTAAAAAAATTTTTTTTAGCTTCTAAATTTCCTCAAAAAAATTATTTAAAATACTTAAAATAATGTTTTAGGTTCTATTGGTTCTCATAAGCCATAAAATGTGGACAATATTGTTGGGCAAGAAATGTATACCAACAATCCTTCCCTTCCCTTTTCCCCCTCATTACTTCCATTTGCCACTTTTGTCTATATCCAAATGTCCCACCCACGAAATGTTTTTAAAGCCCCGGCATTCTGTAGAGGATTGAAAAGCTTTTTTTAGAGAGAAACTATTTAAATTTGTATTATGTGGAAAAAATTTTTGGGGAAAGGAAGGTAACTTAAACGGAAAGTTTCATACTTCCAATTGACAGTAAAACAACTCTTTCTTTTCCCATTCAGTATCTGAGATTCTTATCACAATTTAATTAAATTCTTGGCTTAATTTGAAAGCAATTTGTCTTTAAAAAAGGTAAAAACCCTCAACTATTTTTTCAACTAAAAACCTTTAACTAGTTAAATAAATTAAAGAAATACTGTAGAAAATGCTTTCCCCTTCCCCCAACCAGTTTGGCATTTTTCAGAATTGAAAATGGCGCATTGTGGGAAAATTTTGGAATTGGCAATGGAAAGAGGGGACAAAACTAGAGAAGCTGGTTGGGGGGGGGGGGGTTTGTTTGGAATAAAGTAAAAAATAAAAAAGAAATGATTAGAGAAAATTAAAAAAATTATTTTAAAAAAATTTTAAAGAAATTATTAAGAAAAGTTAAGCAAAAAAGTTTGATATCAACATAATTTTTGTGGGATAATTTTAATTAAACATTAATTAATTTACATCATTAAATGGGAAATTGCAAAATTAGAATTTTTAAACAAAAAAAATGAAAATTTTTGGGAAAAAATTATTTTTAAAATGACAAAGTTAAATTAATTAAAATAATTTAATGTATTATTTTGAGAAGGCGATCTTTTTGAAATAATATGTCGTTAAAAACAATTATTCTGGACGTATGATAATTAAATTGGTATTTACCTATATATACATATGTATATGAATTGCAGAAATATTTTTTTTATTTTTCGAAATTTTTCTCAAAAAACGCCGTAAACTAAGAACTCTAATAAAATTTTTCGCCCACACATCGAAAAAATATCTACGGACCATGTATCCTTACCCTCAAACGGTTGGGTGGGGTCAATCCCATGGATGTCAGGGTTACCTGAAAGTTGTCAAAAGAAAAAAAACCCTATCATTTTTGTCAACCCGTGACATCCCTGGTCAATTCACAAGAGAAAGAAAAATTAAAATATAAATAATTTTAATAATTAAAATAATTTAGAATTTTTAATTGAAACAAAGATGGGATTTTTAACTTTATTAAATTTTTTTTTTAAATTCAAACAAACCAACATTTTTTCTTATATTTAGCACTAACAATTAGCGGAACTTGTTGTTCTTCATTATCTGTTTTTGTTGTTGTTGTCAAATTACGATCAAAAGAATTTAATGAATTTGTAGGAGGGCTATAACTTAAAATCTAAAATTTTAACAAAATTAATTTTAAAAAAATTAAAAACTCAATTTTTGGTTAAAATCAAATTTAAACCCAAAAGCATGTGCCAATTGAATAAAATGCATGAAGTTTTCGGCTGTTGGAAGTATTGGATTTAGAACTAAATATTTAATCATAAATAATGATTGTTAATAAATATTTGGATTGGGATACTTTGAGAAAAAAAATTTTTTTTTTAATTTCCAAACACATAATCACTACATAGAAGTCGGGGCAGGACAGAATCCTGCAGAGGATTTTTCAGGATCCTGTCCGAAATCCTGCCTTTTCAGTTTTCAGGATTTTAATGATTAATCCTGAGGATCCTATCCTGTTCGAAATTTTGAAACCCAATCCTGATACAAGATCCTATTAATGTGGTTTTACCGACCTTTAATAATTACATAAAATTAATTTAATCATAATTTCTATTATTTAATTTTTCTGATTCAATTTAATTTTGCTAGACGCTGCGATTAGACGCATAATCTGGACAAGATCTAAAAATTTACGTGACTTCAAATTTATGCACGTCTTGAATTTTTTCCTTCAGAGCCAAGAAAAATTTAGGAAATTTTAAATAAAAATAAACGATTGTTTAGAAGATATTTTTAAAACTAAGGTATAAGGTTTTCGGATGTTTTATTGGAGATGTGAATAAACGGTCATGTCCTACCCTAATAATAATATAAAAAAATATTTCGGGAGCTAGAAGTATATTACAATTTACATTTGAAACTCTTTAGAAATTTCAAAAAAAATAATTTTTGAAATTTTGATTTACTTGGTGTTACTATTGGACGAAAATTTGGCGAAATTTGATTATTATTATAATTATTTTGTTGTAACAACAACAATGCTTGAGCTATTAGATTTGATTGTGCTAAAGAATTATATGAAATATTTGGTTGAAAAAATAATTTTTGTAAATTCTCAGAATTATTTAAATTAATATTTTCGTTGTTAATTGAGGGTGGGGATTTGGCAGGTATTGGTTGTTGTTGTTGATTTGAAGAAATTTCTGTTGGACTTGGACTTCCCAATGGAGGCAAAAATATATTCTAAAAAATTAATTTAAGTATTATTTGCTTTTTAGGGAAATCTTTTTGAGATTTGATTGTCAAGAGAAGAGATATAATAAATAGGTAGATTAAAATCGTAATGATCAGAAAATATCTAAAATCATGTGTAGGTTCTGAATGTCTGAGTAATCTGGAATTTTTATAAAAGATTTAAAAATATTATTGGTAATTAATCGAGAAAATACGTTGTTTAAGAAATAATTTAAAACAAATTTTTTAATTAAACTTGAAAACTTAATTTGTGGAATTGTTCATGTAATTCTTCCATATCCACATCTTCATTAATTATTTCATTTTGCTCTTTATTTTTATTTTTAATATTTCCAACTTCACTTTTATTTAAATGATTTTTTTGTTGGCAATTAATTAATTGTTGAATTTTCATTTGGAAAGTAGTATATTTTTAATTTTGAAAATTTTTTTGTCAAACTTGCGAAAAAAATTAATGAAAAAAAATTTTATTATGAAAAAAAAGAAATGATCTTTTAAATTTATTTAAAATTCAAAAATACTGTTTAAAAATGGATTTTTAAAAGAAGAATGTATGTATGTATAAGGGAACGTGCCGACATAAAAAATAAATTCCCTATTTTTGGATACATGGAATTCTCGAAAACATTTTACACCCGACGGGGGAGGGGGGGGGCAAATTTCGGATAGGCAGCGCCACAGGGAGGGGGTTCAAAAAATCTCTCAAATTTCCCGACTTTCGGGGACGGGGAACAACCCTAATTTTAACAGCCTGATATTAAACCTTTAATTATTTATCAAAAATAAATTTTAAAAATAATTTTTAAATTATCGATTAATTATTGTTTAATTATAAAAAATAAAAATAATTTTTTTAACTCTCAGCAATTATTTAAAAAATTAAAGTATTACATATTTGTATGTACTTAAATTTTACTTCAAAAAATTATACTCTTCATCACGCATAAAAAAATAATGAAGAAAAATATGTATTTAACAAAAGACATTTTCATTTAATGTTTTTATTTACTTAGTTCACAAATTCAATAAACTACTGGGTGCGTAAAAAGTCCTTGCCCGCACTATTTTTTGTATAAAAATTTATCCAGATGGAATTTTGCCAAATAAATTGGCATATACAATCAAAGGAATGTCTGTTATTAGAAAATTAAAAAAGATTTTCAAAATTTTACCCATTTTCAAAAATACAAGCATCTAAACCCAACTGGAAATTGCCTCTGATGGTCGCACACTCATTATCAATCTTTTGGTCCCGGGCAGGTCTTAATGCAGTTTTCCGATTCTCAATTGTTTTGTATATTTTTCGCCTAATCATTTGCTCTAAAATTGACCAAACAGAATCTTCCAAAAGATGCCAAAAAGAGTGTGGGCAAGGACTTTCTACGCACCCTGTATACTTAAAAATAATTTAGCTAATACATATACATATGTTTGTATCAGGGATATGTGTAGCCGACCCGATCCCCGAAAATCGGGAATTCTCGACGTTTTTTGGGTCGGCTAGATCCCAGTTTGTATGTTGCCTAGTTACCGTATTTACTCGATTAATTCCC